CTAGCATACAAAGGCCCTGGGTTCAATCCCCAGCATCGCAAAAGGTATGAAATAAATAAATGAGTAATAGAGAGTGTTGACCCCAGCAGCCGATGAGGGCCTTTCGCTCTGGAGGACTGTAGGGGAGGACTCATCCCTTCTAGTAGCATGGTGATAAGAGGATGTCCAGGTCCTTACGGGGACTGACATTTTGCCATTTTACTATGTTGTTGGAGTCTATGGTGGAGCTCCTGCCAAACCCACAGAAAAGGGGTTGCATTGAATATTCTTTTTTTTCTTTCAGGATTTGTGTGTGTGTTCGTGTGTGTGTTCGTGTGTGTGTTCGTGTGTGTGTGTGTGTGTGTGTGTGTGTGTGTGTGTGTGTATAAGTGCCAAGGGAAGCCAGAAGAAGGCATCAGATCCCTTGGAGTTGGAGTTACATGCTAAAATTTACTTGAAAAACTTTATTCTTTTTTATTTTTGAAAAACTTTATTCTTTTTTTTTTTTATTATTATCAGTTTTTCGAGACAGGGTTTCTCTGTGTAGCTTTGGAGCCTGTCCTGGAACTCGCTTTGGAGACCAGGCTGGCCTCGAACTCACAGAGATCCGCCTGTTTCTGCCTCCCGAGTGCTGGGATTAAAGGCGTGCACCACCACCGCCTGGCGAAAAACTTTATTCTTAATTAACTCCTTAGTGAATGTTTTCAGGGCACGTTTGGATGGCTTAGAATACCTCTCAGTGTAACACAAAAATTCCCAGGCTGGTGAGAGCATGAGTTCAATCCCCGTGACCCACATGGTGGAAGGAGAGAACGGACTCTCACAAGCTGTCCTCTGGCCTGCACTCCTCTCTATTCCTGATCTGCTTCTTTTGTTATTGTGTTCCCCACAAAACACAGGTACACACACACACACACACACACACACACACACACACACACACACACACAAATAATAATAGTAACAAAAGATTCCCCCAGCTCAGATTTGTATTTGCTCATGTGGAAAAGACCACCTTTCCTACGTAACTGTGCAGACACCCTGAGCTGGGGCATCCTTTTAGATACCAAAGCCGTGCTTAAGAAAAAAACGAGTTCTAGAAGGTAATAGAGGGCCTACACAGGGAAGAGCGGGTGAGCTCACTGCATAGCTGTCTTTGTGCTTTTAGAAAATGTCCTGTTGAAAGGCGAGTTGGCGGTGCCAGAGCAAACAGCCCCAGATCTCCTGAGCAGAGCCGCACGAAGCTTCACTTCGTGAAATTCATCATGTCCTGTCCCCTGAGCCAGAACTTCTTGCATACACTTAAAACAAAAATGTTTTTCCCGAGTTGCCAACACCCTTTTTCCCTCTGGGCAGGGCCTCCAGTCAGCTCTCCTGGCTGTCCAGCCATTGGTTCATGGTCATGATGTCCCTGTATCTGCTGCTGCTGCTCATTGTGAGTGTCACCAACTCCTCTGCTTTCCACCACTTCTGGAACCGAGTGAAGAGATGATCCCAGGCGCCTGGAGTGGGGGCCACTCACCACGTGCCTTATGGAAGCTTGTCCTCCACCTCCTGCATCTCATATCCAGCCAGGTCGAATTTGGGGACCGGTTGCAGGGGGTGCACAGGACAATTTTCATATGCCATAAATGTACTGATTGCCTTGGATGGTGTGTCCAGTCCCAGTCCAGTCAATGGGTGGCCTCCCATCTGCTTCTTCCCAAATAGTCGAAGGAGGTGGCTCTTCAGCCAGGGCCAAAGGAAAAGTAACTCCTGCTGCGTTTAAAAGCAACATGTCCAAGCTGTCCGTGGTGTTTACAATCGCTCAAACGGAGGCTGGCCCTTTCTTTAATGCCTTTTGGAAGACAGAGAGTGTGCAATGGGGGTGATAAATCATTAGGCGGTTGCCTTGTTTTGACTCAAGACACCCAAGAGGGACAGTCATGTTTCTCGTAAGAACCAGTGGGATCGTTTGGGGATTCCATCAGCTTTAGTCTGCGGGTGTAAAACATTTGAACGGTTTTCTCAGATCAACAAACGGTTTCTGCTACAGCTGTACCGCCCTCCCTTAACCACATAGAGAAGGAGCCACAGAGGGATAACAAAATGCAGACTTAACCACTAGCAACTCCGTCATCGTTTTCTAAAAATGACCAACTGCTGATTACAGCTGAAACGGAACCAAATGTTTGTTCTCTGCTTTTGTTGCTGTTTGTTTTAAAGTAACTGTTTGATACATTAGCCTCCGTGAGCCGAATAAAAGGAGAGATGTCTAAACCTAGAGCACCACGTGGCCTGGGGCCACAGCCTCTTTCCTGGCTGTGTTATAGAGAGAAGGATCCAAGCCATAGGCTCGCCAGGGTCCTCATTCCCACGAAGCTGCCTTGATCTACAACACTCTAGGCCTTCAGGGGCCCGGTGGTCTTCAAGACAGACACCTGCCTCAGTTGGCCTCATATCTTCCTGGACTGAGTCTCCCTCAGAGGAGCCGTCATCTTTGGGACTCAGCCTGAGTTTTAGTGTGTGAGCAGAGAGCCCCAACTGTCCATGCTGGGTTGTTTACCCCTCCTTCCTGCCAGCCTTCAACCAGGAAAGAACGCTGTTGAATGGGAATGAGGTCTCCACAGAGGGGAAGATCGTTTTCTACAATTTGTAAAGTTTCTGAAAAAGCCACTATTAAGTTTTTAAATCAAATCGTGGGTCATTTAAAAAAACAATAAAGATATTTTCCTAAATACCAAGTTGTCTGTGTGACTGTCCGCAGCCCCAGCTCAAGTCAGCTGTACTCAGGGTTAAAAAGCTTAGCCTTTTCCTTCTTCATGGTGGACGTGAGTGGCAGTGCCACCAGGATAGCTGGTAAGTGGGACCTGTGGTCATTGACCTCACACACGGGGACACTTACTGTGTGCCCTGCGTTAGGAATACAAGTAGGATCAAAACCAAAGCCCTTGCCCGCCAGGAGCTGGCAATGTGGGCACATAGACAAGCATTCCAGGTAAGGCTGACATCCTGAGATGTTATAAAGGAGAAGCACTTGGCAAAGAGTCCTAACATGGTCTGGGGTCAGGAATACAGAACCAGTACCATAGACTATACATGTGTGTTGATTTTTTTGATCTCCACAACAGGCCTTGTGTACTTTAGCAGATCTGAAGGCAGGCCCAGAAAGCTTAATAGCATGTCCACGCTATACCAGGAGGAGGTGGTGGAGCTGGGAGTTAAATCTGGAAGGCTGGTTTCTCATGTCCATCCTTGGAGCTAGGAATATAGATGAGATGGTGAGTGCTCGCATAGTGTGCACAAAGCCGAGGGTTTGATCCCCAGCACTGCATCAAACTGGGCGCTTGTGATGGAGTCATACTAACCCCCATCAGCTTTCTTTCTTTCTCTCTTTTTTTAAAATTTATTTTTATTTTTCAAGACAGGGTTTCTCTGTGTAGCTTGGCAGTCCTAGAACTCACTCTGTAGACCAGGCTGGCCTTGAACTCACAGAGATCCTCTTGCCTCTGCCTCCCGAGTGCTGGGATTAAAGGCATGCCCCACCACCACCACCGGCTCTCATCAGCTTTCTTATTGCCAGGACAAAATGCCTGAAATAAACAGCCAGAGGGAGGGACGACTGATGAAGACTTACAGTTTCCATGGTCCCAGCTCACGATGGCAGGGTGGGAAGGGTGTGTCTGTGTCTGGGCAGAGCGCGCGCGCGCGCACACACACACACACACACACACACACACACACACACACACACACACACACGCACACACACACGCACACACACACGCACACACGCACAGAGACGGAGAAGGGTCGGGGAAAAAACAGGAGCCTGTACCACATTCCCAGATCTTCCTCCATGAGCTCCACCTCCTAAAGTTCCCAGCACCATCAGCTGGGGACCAAGAACTGAATGCACCAGCGTGTGGGAGACAGCTGACCTACAACACAGCTCCATTGCCCTCTCACACATCAGCTGGAACCTGAGGAGTGGTCAGTCTAGGCAGAGAGAGGGAGGAGTGGGGACTCGCAAAGGGCTAGTGTTCTCAGAAGCAGAAAGGAGGAAAGACACAAAGAATTGTGCTGAAAAGCAGATAGGGCAAAGTTAAAGGAGAACTGGGTTTTTGGTTTGTTTTGAGACAGAGTTTCATGAAATCCAGGTTGACCTAGCCAGGTTGACCTGGCTACATAGTTAAGAATGACCTTGAACTTCTGATGTTCTTGCCTCTACCTCCTGAGTGCACGGGACACCAGATCTGGCTTAAAATTATTTATTTATTTATTTATTTATTTATTTATTTATTTATTTTTAAAATTTTACTTTTTTTTTTTTTTCTGAGACAGGGTTTCTCTGTGTAGTTTTGGTGCCTGTCCTGGATCTCCCTTTGTAGCCCAGGCTGGCCTGGAACTCACAGAGATCCGCCTGGCTCTGCCTCCTGAGGACTGAGATTAAAGGCGTGCGCCACCACCGCCCGGCTGTACTTTTTATTTTATGTGCATTGGTGTTTTGCCATGGGTTTGGTTCCTCAGGAACTGGAGTTACAGACAGTTGTGATCTGCCACGTGGGTGCTGGGAATTGAACCAGGGTCCTCTGGAAGAGCAGTCAGCATTCTTAACTGCTGAGCCATCTCTCCGACCCTGGTTTTAAGTACTTCCATGAGTTTTGAATCCAGTGCCTTGTACATGCTAGGCAAGTGTCTACCATGGAGCTCTATCTGAAGCTCTCCCCTTCCGGTTTTAAAAGGAATTAAGACATTTCCCAACTATGGGTCTGAAGCACTGTGCTCATGTTGTCTAGTGAATGCGCTAGCCCTTGGGTAGGGTTGTGGGAGGTGCTGTGAGACCTCTGGGTCCCTGGAAATGATAGACAGGAAGGAGACGAGACTCAAAGCCACTCAGCCCCTACCCTAAGCCTACAGCGGATGCCATTAGAACAGAGGCTCTGGAGGAGGCAGGCTGGGAGCCGTAGGGTGGGGCCCAGGAGGAGAAAGCAGCTTCCTCTCTGTTCTGTTTAATGTGCCCAAGAGGAGGAGCATGCCCGGGTAGTTGATGGCAGAGGAGGTCAGGAGGCACTCAGGTGCCACCATCTCACATTGGGGCCCCTGCTGTCTTGGCCTTGTGAGAAGCACCGCCCACCCCACCCCCAGGTCAGCTCTGTCAACTACACGTCATTGACTGGAATGCTGCATTCAGAGAGGTGTCAAGTGGGTCTCTCACAGGTAGGAGGCTGGCTTTGAAGGGCCCATAATCCTACTAGTGCATGCGGGCGGAGAGGAGAGAGAGGCAGATGTGATTCAGTGTTGGCTCTGATTAATTCATTCCATTAAATGGCAGTCGCCTCCCGAGCGGGGCCATGGGTGGGGAGCTGATTTAAAGAGCCCAATCCAGGTGTTTTTCTTTATAACATGGCTGCATCGCATCTGCGCCCATCCACTGCTAAGCCCAGGAGGTTTGTGTTGGCATGGAGTCTGCCGAACTCACCCTCCCCGTTGCCATGGTGACTCTTAGGCCCTGGGGTTGGATTCAGTTCTTCACACACACACATGACCACACCCCTCCCGAGCCCCTCTAACACTCCCTCCCACCCCTCCCTCCTCTTCACTGCGTCACCACATGCCCCCCCCCCCCCAGGTTTCCATCTCTTGGCTTTCTTTCTTTTCTTTTCTTTTTTTTTTTTTTTTTGCCTTTGTCCACTCCCCACCATGGGTTTTTGTTTGTTTCCCAGCTGTCTGGGGCTGTGCACCATGGAGACCGTGTCCTGGGCTGCCTCTAACCCTGATCTGGTTAGGAGCCCCTCCGCTTTTGCGTGTATCTCCAACCTGATGTTCAGAACATCCAAAACAAATCCCGACATTCCAAAGCAAGATAGAAACCACCGTCCCCACCCACTCTGCTGGCGCCCTGGTCCACCTGGAAAGGACTTTTGAAAATTTCCAGTGTTCCAAAGCAGTGTCCGTGGACTGAAGGGAAAGCGGTGTCTACTGAGCGTTTTAGTCCCAACGAGCTGCACTTTGTGTGAAGTTGATGTTTTCTGCATTAAAATTCCACCGGAAGCTTTCAGAGGGCAGGGTTCTCAGGACAAGCCTATATACATTTGTCTCGGTGCACCCAAGAGAAGTTCATTGAGTGAATATATGAAAAGATTCATGGAATGGCTGAGTGGCAGTCTAAGAGGGTTGAATTAGACCTCAGGGAAGGGGAAGGGGGAGTTGGTAGGAGAGGGCATCTGAGGAGGCTGTTGCTTGGCTTTGGGAAATCCTGCTTGCTGTGACCCCAGAAGTACTTGGTAGGATTAGTGAGGTGGGCAGCAAACGGCCTGGTGTTTTGTTTTAAAATGCAAATGGTCCTGGAAAGTGGAATACTACTGGTTTTGAAGCTTGTTCACACATGGGTCAATGACTGGGCATTGTGCTTACAACTGTAATCTAAATACCCATGAGGCAGCCAGTCAGTGGTGACACATGCCTTTAATCCCAGCACCGGAAAGGCAGAGGCAGGAGGATCTCTGTGAGTTTGAGACCAGCTTGGTCTACAGAGCAAGTTCCAGGACAGCCAAGACTACAGAGAGAAACTCTGTCTCGGGGGCGCGCGGGGGGTGGGGGGTGGGGGCGCCGGACATAAAAAAACCAAACCCCAAAATACCCACTAAGCTGAGGCAGGAGGATTGCACAAATTTGAGACCAGTCTGTGCTACAGATATCTGCTGTCCATCTACCTTTTTTATTTTTTGAGCTTTAGGCTAACCTGGCTACAGAGTGAGAGCATTTCAAAACAAAAACCTTAAACATTCAAGAAACCAAAACACAAAGCAAAGCCTGTCTAAGAACAGGCTTTAGTAATGAGTTGGTAGACAATGAGAGAGAAATAATTGGAGACTCACCAGCAAAAGGAACTTCACTAACTGGGCACTGGAGCCAAACATGGCTCTATCTGCAGTTAGCCAGAGGACCCCATTGAAAACAGCACGTATTCTTCCAAGCCCTTCCAGCCAGCCTTGGTGGCATGGGTCAGGTCGGTCAGATTGCAGAAGGAGGCAAGGCCAGTCTGAACTACTGGACCCACACATTGCAAACTGGCTTAAGATTTCACTGGTCTTGGGCAAGCACAGGCACAAGTATGTCCATATGTCCAGTTGCCAGAAGTCTACTGGACTTCAACTATAGTGTTTACTTATTGATTTTTAAAGGGGTGTGTGTGTGTGTGTGTGTGTGTGTGTGTGTATACATATATTTGTGTGTGTAGGTATATGAACATGAGTGCAGGTGCTTTTGGAGACCAGGGACAGTTGATCCCTCTGAAGCTAGAATTACAGGCATTGGGAGGGGCAGTACGGCAGTACCTGGGTCCCCTCACTACGTGGGTACTAGGAACCATACTCTGGTCGTCTAGAAGAGCAGTACCTACTCTTAAGAGCTGAGCTGAACCCCCACCACCACGTGTATTTTAAAGGGGGGGGTCATCCTTTCAGTTCTCGGAGTCCCTCATTTCTTCTGTGTGGGGTCACCTGTTCCTGTCGCTCAGGCTCCACTCACCCTCCTGGTGCTGTACTCCGACCTCTCCTCCAGGGCATCAGCCCCATTTCCTGCTCTCCCCAGGTCCTGGTAAAAGCAGCTGACGGCCTTTCCACCCACCCACTCTGAATAGAGCAGCACTTGGCTTCAGATGTGGGTCTGTGACTCAACTGGATAAGAAAATCCTAGCAAGATGAAGTCCAGTTTTGTGGATGTTCCTGGGAAAGAGACTTGTATTTCCTCGTCCTGAATGTGAGAGGCTGGCCTTTCTGCTGCCTTTGTGCTGTTTGCATTTTGTGTGAGAGGCAGGGTCTGCCTGTGTAGCCTGGGATGGCATGAGACTCAGTCCTGCTGCCTCTGCACCCCTCCCCCCACCCTCCCCCACCCCCATCCCAGAGTTCTGGGATTACAGGTGAGTGTTATCCTGCTGACCTTGTTACCACCCGGCTGCCACCTTGCTACCATGGGATGCTATTCACTAAATCAGAAGTGCTTAAAAATCAGGCTTAGCCGGGCGGTGGTGGCGCACGCCTTTAATCCTAGCACTCGGGAGGCAGAGGCAGGAGGATCTCTGAGTTCGAGGCCAACCTGGTCTACAAAGTGAGTTCCAGGAAAGGCGCAAAGCTACACAGAGAAACCCTGTCTCGAAAAACCAAAAAAAAAAAAAAACCACAGGCATTTCACTTGGTGATCAATATATTCTTTGTGATTTAATGAAGTTAAATTGGATCTGGTGAGAAATGAAGGCATGTGCATGGGAGGACAGGGTTCTTAACTGATGCCCTCAGCTGTCCTGGATTCTTACTTTTGGTGTAAGTCTATGAATTACGAAAAAAAAAATGTGACTTTTAAGCTGGTGAGTCTGGATCAATGAGGTTTGATTGCCGTTATAACCCATGGATGATCCCACAATGTACTCAAATGTACACAAAACGAGAGATGGATCCCAGAAAGTGTGGACTCTAGAGCTAGAGTAATAATGGAAGCCGGTGGGCACAGGTTACAGCTGGAGAAGCTGTTGGAGTGAAAAAGACCGAGGCCAGTGGGTCTCAGCCTTCCTAATGCTGTGACCCTTTAATGCAGTTCCTCATGGTGTGGTGACCCCCAACCGCAAAATTATTTCGTTGCTACTTCATAACTGTAACTTTGCTACTGTTATGAATCGTAATGTAAATATCTGATATGCAGGGTATCTGATATGCGACCCCTGTGAAAGGGTCGTTTGATCTCCCAAATGGGCTGTGACCCACAGGTTGAGAACTGATGACCTAGACTGATGGTGAAGGAAGGCTGTGGTGTCAGAACCAGCCCCAGTGGGCAGAAAAATCTCCCTGTTGAGAGCCCTTAGCCCTTCTGCCTAGTTAAGCATGGGCCACCTGGGGGTGCCAGAAGTGGATCCCATGGGAAATCTCCCCGGATATTCACTTATTAACCAGAGCCTTGCACACAACCCTAGTCAACTGTTGATCCCAGTCACTGCAGGTCCAGGAGGTGACCATGAGGCTCACAGGGCATTGAAGGAGAGGTAGGCAGGGGGACCCTCCCTCCTTTCCCAGCTGCTGCTCAGAGCTTAAGCCTCCAGCCTGCTCAGATTATGATTTCTTCGAGACCACAAATCCAGGGACTGCCAGCAGCCAAATCCTTCTCTGATTGTCTGAGTTATTCCGGACACCAGAGAATAAACAGTCTCCGCTGTCTAGCCAGCTGTGACGAGCAGTATTTCTGTCTTTTCCTGGCTGGCTATAGTTCTGTGTCCACCTCCAGCTGAGGCCTGGGGGCCCTGGAAGTGGGGAGAGGGGGAGGGGAGAGGCCTATGTGTTAGTGAGGACACTTTTTGAGTCTCTATTTTGCCTCAGTCCCAGGCATTTTGGCCCCAAGTCCTGGTTTTTGTTTTTGTTTTTGTTTTGTTTGAGACAGGGTCTCATGTAGCCCAGGCTGGCCTCAAACTTGCTCTGTAGCTGAGGGTGACCTTAAATTTCTGATCTTCTCACATCCACCTTCTGAGTGTTGTGATCACGAGTGTATGCCACCATGCTTGGTTTAGGAAATTCAGAGGATCAAACCCAGGGCTTCAGGCATGGTAGGAAAATGCTATCAACTGAGCTGTTATATATCTCAACCTGCATTTCAACTCTGTCAGTTCAGAGGAGACCCCCTACTGGGTCATTGTCCTTGGAGTTGGAGCCTGTGAACTACTACCTGGGGCACTTGAAATGTACCATCTCTCTGCATAGACCTGCAGTCATCATATCCCAACAGCTTGTTTCAGAGAAGTGGAAAGAGAGAGGTGAGGCAGAATGAGACTAGAACTGAGTAAGCCTTTGATTCCTACGACCTTGGGATGACGTGGACACTCTGCTTTGATGACACGATGGGCTACCCATGCATTTGGAGGGGAGCAGGGTGTTCTCATCCTAGGCCTGTTTTGGAGATCAAGCTTATGGCGGGACTGTTTCCTGAGAGGGAAGACAGCCCCCGGAAAATCACTGGTCACCCGGCTCTGCTAAATCATCTTGTCAGAAGCAGAGTTGATGTAGCAGGGTCTCTGCCACTGTCCGAGAGTCCAGCGCCCAGCTTTAACTTGGCCAAGTCACGAGAGAAGCCAGGGACTAAGGGCAGAGTCCTCAGGAAGAGGAGCCCCCCTCTCCTCAACACACACCATCTGCTTCTGTGCCCCAGGATCCTGGCCCGAGATTACTGGGGCGGGG